TTCGGCTCCAGGAAGATCGCAACGTATGGCCAATTTTAATGCAAGTTCCGGATTTTGCAGTGTCTGTGTTACATATGGAATCATATTCTGTTCATCAATACTTACCGACAATACCTTAAAAGAGACAAGTTCATATACGTGAACCTTCACCACACTAATAAAAGCAGAAATGAGTATCGAGATTTATTAGCTGTTTAATGGCTCAGTTTTCAAGCAAGGAACCAATAATAAGAAACTACTATCTAGTACCTTTTGACCAGCCCCAACGACAAAAATCTGTTTCAAATGACGCGGCACCTTTTAAACAAACACAACTGCCAATAGCTTTGCAGCACGTAAAACTTCTTTAACCTTTTATGCAAACACTGCATAATGAAGGAGAAGGTAAAGGAGGAAAGGAAGCAAAGCAAGTCTCGAATACTAAGCAACAAGCGCAACCTGTCCTTTCCGATTTACGCCAATGATGCCTTCGGTAGCGGTATACTCTGCAGTGACGAAGATTGTCTCCGACGAGATTCGATTCATATAAATGCAAACGGCTGTCTCGATATCGTACAAATGAACGTAGCCATATTTCGTCACCAGATATATGATGCCGTGTTTCGAGGAAGCCTGGAACTCACGGCCGACTAAGTTGCACTTCAAAAGTTTATGACAAAACTGTACTTGTTTTGTTCAATTTGCTCTTCTCCAGCTGGATCACTGTACATTACTGGATTACCTGCATGGCAACTGGGAAATCGGTGGCCGCTTCCGCTGGATAGTACACTTCCACTTGTTTTTTGTGGAACGGTTGATTGCCGGCTGGCGGAGTACCAATTTCGATGATGTGAAGCTGAAACAAAAGCGAAACGTATTCGCATTATGCATGAGCGAATACAAGTACAAATTTCAGGGGCCATATTGGGCTTCAAACATATTTCATGTTCCTCTACATTATTTCATGAACCAGGCCGCGTAGGCCTAGAAGTTAACGGTCACAGTTGATTCTCTCAAATAACTCCATAGACGATTAGATCAACTAGCATTCTTCCCTGCCCCATTCATCCTTTATAAATTTTACGCTATGAATGTTCCTTTCTTTTACGAGCAATTTTGGCACTGTTCCTCCTTCTTCTTCACAGCTTTCTGGTAACAAATTCGAAAAATTTTCATTCAGCTGGTAATTCAACTGATTGTTCTGTTTATCCACATTTTCACATCCCAGCCAAATTTTACAAAACCCGTGGCAGAAGACATACCTTGCCGCCTTGCACAGTGCGCACAGAGAAGCAGAACAGATTGCTTGGATGAGGATTTCCCTCAATTTTGAAGCCCACAAAGCAGGCTGCGTGTCCTTCGATTGGTTGAGATACCTTGCGCTCGGTGCTGTACAACTGCATGGCACCAACTACACGATTATCCTGCAATTTTCATTATTCACAACACAGGAGAGGCAACAAAAAAATCAACGTGTAAGCAACACGCGTACTATTTTTAATTTACGATATCCAGTGGTTGCTGATTTCCTTAAGGTTTCGAACAGCCTATTTCTGCCACTTATTTTGATTTGATTTAGTAAGCACTGTTGTATTTTCATAATTTCTTCAAATTTTGCAAAATGAGTAGTTCCCTCTCAAAAAAGGCCGAAAGAGTGCGATGGGAATGAACAAACACAGGCTACAAGTGAAAAACTCCCGGTGGATTGTTTAACAAATGTCACACTGAACAAATGAGGAGGGAAAGGGGGTATAAGAATTAGTACCTTGGCAGCGATTCCGATGAGAAGAAGCCATTTGCATTCGGCGTCCGCCCGATAGTTGATAATCTGGAAGCCGTTCAGCGTTGAATGTCTCTCAAACATTTTTAACGGAGCGGAATCACCTGCAATACGACATATGTTTGTGTGTGTGTGTGTGTGTGTGTGTGTGTGTGTGTGCGTGTGTGTGTGTGTATCAGCTGTATGTGCTCGATGTATTTACAAGGAATACCATGCAGTGACCAGTGATATGCGGCCGTCTCCGAAACCATTGCAATGGTATTGACATTGATCCATTTCCAAAAGATCACATCCTCCGGCATATTGTACGACTTCACCTTCGCCTTCACATCCATATTGAAGATTTGCAGTGTTCGTGAGGCTAAAACAAATCACCCAAACCAATAATTCAGGCTAAAAGCTCATCTGTACAATCGCTCACCCACTGCTTCGTATAGAACACACTAATTGTATTGCAGATTTTAGATCCTCCGTTACAAAATCCGAATAGGGAATCATTACAGAAATTTATGTTTCTGCTTAGTCAGTACTTCAGAACTGTTGTAAATACCCCCAACATAACAATACTTTTTAGTTCACTGACTCAGTTTTTCACAAAATTATGGCACCCATCCTTCATTAACAACAAGTTTTTATAAGGGGCCAAGAATTATTGGAAATTTGTTGAGATGTATATAACGCAGCGGCTGGACCTTCACTAATATACAGGATTTCTCGGGAAGCAGACTCATTCTCATCAAACAGTTTAAGCTTACATTTCAGTGCGAGGACTCTGGTTGCCGGATTCATGATCACCGAATCGGCGGTGATTGGCCGGCGTACCGGGTTGTTCACTTCGCCCATATCGATAATCACAACCTGCATATTCTCGCCCACCTTCTCCCTTACAACGATGAACTTGTCCGATTCCATTGTCAGTGTTGCGAAGCCAATGTGAGCTGCATTGATGCCAAGACTTTGCAGCTGAAACACAAACAACTAGCAATATGCAATCTCCCGGCCCTGTTCTGTGTCGCTGAAAATAAACAAAAATACAATAACTAGTTATATGGCATGTTCCCCAAATTCTCCTGTGGCCGAAATTTCTCTCAACTTTCACAGCAAATCATCGACAGACAGACAGCTCTCTTCTGTGGTAATGGAACAAAAACTGTAATGTTGAAACAAAATCTTTTACAGTGCAAAATAAAAAAGTTACGAGCCAAAAGTCCCCCTCCCCCCTATTTCGCTCTCCACGAGAAGTGGAGGCATTTGAGTAGTCCGAGTGATAAAAAATGCCAACAGCAACCACCCGCAAGCAGGGCTGTCGATGACTGCCTCTTCTGAAAATTCTTACAAGCAAGTTGATGTTGTCGGGTTTGATTCCCCGACATATATGACAGTATTAATATACCATCGAAACGAATTATAAAATAAATAGCAACGTGCACCAGACTAGCCGGTGCAACCGTACGTTTTGTGCAATTCAGCTCATCGAACGATTGCCTATTAATGATTTTCACTGCTTTGTACTTTAATCTATGCAAAAATAGTTCAAACATCGGAAAACTGTTAAAAATTTCACACACCAGCGCATGAAAGATGAATTCGAAACCTTGAAGGGTGAATATGTTTCCGTAATTTTCAAGTTAATAGTTTACCCGCCAAAATTTTCACAACCCCGTAGGTGATACCCGAGAGCGCAAGAACGCTGAATTTGAATAGGCAAGGTTGAGCATAAGCAGAGGGGCATTACCCTAAAACTTCAGCTTCCTAGACTCCGTGGTTCCCGAGATAATAATTTACCCGTCAAAGATTTTCATGGGGCCGTACTTGTTACCCGAGAGCAGGGGGAAGCTGAATTTAAATTTTCTGGGCAGCACGTGGGCGGGGGACATGTTCACAAAATTTCATCCTTCTACCTCCCGTGGTTCCCGAGATACTGATTTCACCCAAAAAACTTTTACGGGACTGCACGTGATATCCGCGGGTAGAGGAAGGCTGAATTTAAATTTGCCGCGTCACCAGTTGGCGAGGAACATTATACTAAAATTTCAGCCGCCTAGCTTTTGCGGTTCCCAAGTTGAAAGTGCGAGACAAAATGTGGGACACACATACATAGACAATCCCGTAACAGTATGCGTTTTGTACTGTTGTTACACAGCACAAAACGCATAAAAAGTGACTGTCCCACACGTACAGTCAAATCCATGCGCCTACTGCACGACAACAGCGCTGTAGCAGTACGCTAAGCCTGACTGTTTTGTGGTGCAAAATGTCTCTTCAAAAATCCACTAGAACGGCAAAAAAAGGACAATTTTTTCAATACAAAAATACCGGGGCACTAGTACTTTCGCTAGCCGACATGTCCTTTCATAGTGCAACGGAGTGGGCGCATGGATCATGAAATCACGTACCAGGATGTGCTCCTGAAATTTGATGGGCAGAAGCGAGGACATCCTTGTTGCTGCTGCTGTTTCTTCTTCCACTGATCCGATTACTGCAGCACTGGATACGCCAAATACGCCTGATTTTAATGCAGCACTGGAAGCGAACTGCAAACCAACGCAAAATCTCATAACTGCCGTAACTCAGCGAAACGCGCCACCACATATCGCATGCAAAATGTACGCATAGCAGTCTAGCAAGTTAAACAGATCTACCACCCGCGGCCAAATCAGCCGGAGCTCGACCCCAAACCACTCACAGAGCTATGCCAGGTCGTTTGGACTCGCTAGGATCGGGAAATCGCTGCTATCCGTGTGGTAGAATTCCCGCACAATAAGGCTGCACAAACAAAACTCATCAAATTATCGACAAAATTAACACTGGCCTTTTACAGCAGCCAGCACTCAACATGCCACATCCA